CGATGATCTTCCAAGGTCCCTTCCAGCCCTAATGTCTATTTAAAAAAAAAAAAACAAGTCCACTACACGTATTAAATGAATGCAGAAACAAGAAGCTTATAATTTCTATTCATAATAAAGTTTAGAATGAACATGTAAAAGAAATTACGTTGGATCATACACTAAAATGATTCCTCATTTCTTGCTTTCAAATACAGATGTGAAAATTGGCAAGGGGAGAGACCTGGAACCAGGTGCTTTTGCTTCCTGTCAGAATTCATGCAGATTTGGCCAAACAGAGAATTTAAAAAAAAAGTGGTATTTGAATATGCTTCAAAAGGTTTGAGAGAATCTGGCAGCCCAAACTACTGCAGACTAAGGCAACAGACGCTAGGCAGGACTTTTCTTAAAACTGCTCTTTTGAGTCACCAGGAGTCACTACCAGGTCATGCAGAATAACTGAATACGGAAGATATAACTGAAACAATTTACCTAAATTTATCCATATTCCTCCAGGCTTGAGTATTTTCCATATTGTATCAATGTAATCAATAACGTTATGTGCTGTGTCTATGAAGAAGCAGGTAGCTATACAGTCCCATGCATCTGTGCAAAGAAAAATAGATTAATAAATATACCCCAAAAAAACAATTTTAGTTAGTAGTAAAGATAACGGTTCGAATTTGGTAAGAAAGTTTTGTAAGTCTGTAATCTTCAAAATAAATGTTTTGAAATAAACATTTAATTTGAGATTTATTTCTGAATTGACACCAGCATTCATTTCCTAGCTTGTGGATAGATTTAAAGCTACAAACATAACTCCAAGTTACTCAGCTTGTGGGGTGTGGTGGGGGAAATCTATATATAAACTCTGCCAGAAAGCTAGGTTGTCAGGATAAAATTTAACACAGAAAGAGCAAATAAACCTGCTTGTTTTAACAGAAAACAATTATGCAATCCAAACAAGGATGCCAGCAGCAAAAAAGAAATAGCTCTACCTAGTCAGTACGGTACGGCGTGCAGATGAGTAACCTCAAGATACAGGGAAAATGCTCCACCTTCTGCACTCTTACCACTACTATGAGGCAAGGCCTTAAAGATTCAACTGTTCATAAAAAAAAGAACTGGATAAACACTATACACTGCTCAGGATCCTAGATATAATTTAAATATTTAACTGGATAAATACTATGTGCACCCATCTGTTCCATATTAATCTGGGATTGAATTAAGTGAGAAACACCACCAAGTTTCTATAGAAGTGACACATCCAGACAAATTTGGCTACTGACAATGAGGAATATCCGTGTCTTTTTAAATACTATCCTTTAATTAATTTCTAAAATACTTGTCAATGAGCAAGTCCACCCTAGATGCTACTGCGTGTTTATTTAGTACTTGTATAAACAAGTACTAAATAAATGAGCAGTAACCGGAGTTACTCTGTAGCAGTGCTAGCAAACCCTTTTTAAGTGACACTGCTGCACAGTAGCATCTCAGCATGGTTTTTTCCATGCGACACTACTGCACAGTAGTATCAGGTTACCGCAGAGTCAGCATCTCATGTAGACGCGCCCAGTGACTGCCAATAAATGTATACTTGATTTATTTGTAAATAACTACTCTACAATCATTTGTAGTGACTTTATCAAAGAAAAGCTGCCATGCAACAATACTGAACTTTAGTCCAGCGTTATAGCGGATAGGCTGCTTATGTCATTTATTCTTTAAAATTGCTTTTCTAATTCAAGTGAAATGAACAAGATGTTATAAACTTACCTGGGAAAGTTTTCTAGACTATCACTGTTCTCATTAAAATAACCACTGCAAGTAGAATCCATTTTATACACAAATGTGCTATAGATTATCTATACTTTCTGACTGAAGGAAGAGGAACATTTATTTTGGCTGTGAAAACCTAAGTGCACTCTTCAACTTCGTTGTTCACTGTAGTAACTGAAAGCATGATTTTATTCTATTGCTTAACAAACGTCTGTCATACCATAGTGAGTATATGTTAAAGATGCAATATGCACTGTAACCAGTAATTTTGACACGTATAATTTATCTACTTACTGCACTCAGAATAAATTTCCTGAAAATCCCCTGCAGTCATAGAAAAGTTTGCACCAGGAGGAAGATTGTGGGGGTCAACATCAGGGAAATTAATTGGTCGTATCTGATCAGCAGATCTCCGGTTATTGCTAAACTGATGAATCCACGGATAAAGTTTATAGGAATTAATTTCAGAGCATCTGCAAAATATGAAAGTCAAAACAACAAAATTAGTCATTCATTATTACAAATATAAAATGATTTACTTTGGTTTTCACCAGTGTCCACAATGAATGTACTTGATAGTAATGTAGACTTTATAAAAGTAGTTCTGTAGGACTTACTTAATTACTTTTACTTACATTCATTAAATGAATGGCTGACTTTTACCAGAGAACAGAAATATTTTACTCCTTAAAAATACAGTAGTAAGAAGCAATTGTTACAAGCTGTACTGAAATGCAGTTTCTTCTTTTAGTCTCTTATTTTTCCACCATTTTTCATTTATGTTGATCTTAAAGTAAAATTAAGACTGTAATTCTTTCTGCAAGATGGTGAAAACTTCCATTACAAATGTTCAGGAGTGCTAAGAGCCAAGACCATTTGCTTTACTGAAAGAGAATATTTATTTGTTTTTACAAGAGAAAGAGGACTTCACTCTTGTATTTATAATTTCCTGTGAATACCCATTTTAATTCTAGATTCTTAGTAATATGTACTTTCTTAAAACTATAATGTGAGGGTCAAAGTAAATGTATTTTTTCTGAAACTATCATCCTTTAATCTAAAGACATACTTTTGTTTATTTCAACAGGATCAGACTTTTTGTCCTTTGCACCATTACATTGGGTGCATATACACATTCATTAATACACAGCAGTTACTGCACATTTAGTTTATCACTTGCTTAAATAAGTACTAACTAAATGAAAAGCAATTAAAGTTATTGTGCAATAGCACCGGCACATTTTTTTTTTTTTGTGACGCTTACTACGGAGTAGCCTAATACTACTGCGCAGTAGCATATTATCACGGGATTTGCCCAACATGCTACTGTGCAGTGTTATTAGGCTACTTTGCATTAAGCGTCTCAGGCAGATGTGCGCACTGACAGCACCACAATTTAGCTGAACAGCCTCACAAAATTTCAAGTTTTTTACTCTGAATTTTATGGAACACAAGACAAATTAACTTTGGGACCCTTATGTAGTTTAATTCAACTCTGTAAAATAAATAAAAAGCTCAATTTTTATAGTACTAATCCACATTTGCTCATACTGTAAATTAAAAAGGCACACTTCTGATAGGCCTGCAAACTCACCCTAAGACCTAGGCTGCACTCAATTATTCTCAATCATGCTCATTAATGAAAGCAGGGCTACACCTACGTAACTGAGGACAATGGAAAAATGCAGTGGTAACAGGGGGCAAGACTCATTCCTTGTTTTGGAGATAGCAGAAAATAACTTCATTTATCATTTACATACAAGGGCAGCTTGCAGAGTTAATAGAAAATGCATCCATCCACCTGAAGCTGAAGCAGATGTGCTCTGAAGAGTGAAAGAAAGGTATAGAACCAAAGATGCCCCATTTACAGTAAAACCATTTTTATAGGCTGTGAGCAGCAGTATAACTGCTGGGATTATCAACTGTTTGCATATATATTATAAAGAATTAAGTATGCATACTTCTAGCACTCAAAGGGAAGAAATCCAAACTGTGGATACAGTTACATTTCCTAAAGTTACTCTAAACAAGATAGTGTTTAAAAGCTTGCTAAAACAGAAACACAACCTTTTTGGTATAGGTATGCTATGCTGTTCATTCATGCATAATCCAGATGCTAGGGGTGTGCAAAATGGGCTGTATTTGATTTGGATTCGGCCCAAATCAGGGACAGCGAGTCAATTCGTTGATTCGGATCGCTATCCCCAATTCAATTCAGCCAAATCCAAATCTGAAGATTCGATGCTGATTTGGAGAATCAGTGATTCTGCCATAGACACAGCTTCAAATGTTGTTTTGGTCCGCTTCTGGGTCTGCTGCTGAGCACGCAGGAGGGCCCCCCCATGCTCCCCAGCTCAGCGATCAGCTGTACTCAGGATGCACCAGTTGCTGAGCCAAGGGGGAGTTGGGGAGGGGGACGGGGGACAGGGTATGTGGGGGAGGTCCCCGGCATGCTCTCCTGCAGATCTGGAAGTGGACTGGATGTGCTTCTGGTCCACTTCCAGGTCTGCTGCCAAGTGCACTGCGACCCTCCCCCCGCGCTCCTGTGGGACGCTCCATCCGCCCCTCCATTTCAGCATTCACGAGAAAACATTTAAAGCTCTGTCTATGTCCAAATCATCTTTCCCAATCAATTCAGAGGGTTCTGATTTGATGTGGAGAAATTAAAGGGTTTCCTGATTCGATTCGGAGATTTGGCCACCGAATCAGGCCAAATCTCTGCCGAAATGAATCAGCAAATGAAGCTTTGCACAGACCTATAAGATGTCTCAAACATCAATAAATCATGACATTTCGTAAGGGAAATGACTCCATTTTACAAATGAGGAAACTGAGACAAGACTAAACTGACTTGCATGAAGTCATAAAATCTGTGAAAAGTCAAATGAGAAACAAGGAGGTAAAATATTGCCTCATCTACTGCAATAGGTTCAGATAGTCCCTTAATTTGGGAGTCCTACTTTTTCATCTCCATAGACTTGCACTCCAACTAGATGGTTCTCAAATCTTGTTAGACTCCTTGAAAAATGCCAGCTCTTAGTTTTCACTTGATTTTTTTGACTATAGAAAAATAAAGCAGTTTTTCTGTTGCAAAGATCTCAGAAAGAACACAACAGATTAGAATGTTTTTAACTAGGGCTGTGCGAAGCTTCGGTAGTCAATTCGATTTGGAGGAGATTCAGCCCAATTTGGCAGACGAATCTCCAAATCCAAATTGAATCAGGAGACCCATTAATTACTCCCAATCAAGTTGGAGGCCTCCAAATTGATTCAGAGAGATTCGGCTATAGACTGTACAGGCAGGCACTAGGCAGTGCCAGCAGGAGCAGCCAGATGAGTAGCTGGCAGCCCCGGAAAAAGCCGCAGCTTATCCAGCTGCTCCCGCGGCTGCCCCCCTGCCGGGGCAAGGCAGGCAGTGCTGGCAGCCCAGGGAGAAGCCACGAGGGCGGGGGGGATAGAACAGGGAACTGGAGAATTGAACTGGGAGCTGGGAACAAACAGGGGCTTCCCTCCAGGTCCCAGTTTGATCACCCAGCTCCCAATCATTCCTCCCAGCTCCTGCGGCTTCTCCCGGGGCTGCCAGTAGTGTTTGCCTCGCCCCGGTAGGGGGGCAGCTGGACAAGCCGCGTCTTGAACCGGCAGTCCCGAGAGAAGCCACGGGGGCTGGAGGAAATGATCAGGGAGCTGGGGGGGTTAAGCTGGATGAGCCTCGGCTTCTCCCAGGGCTGCCAGCTCAAGCCGGGGCTCGTCTGGCTGCTCCCTCAGGTGCTCCCACCGGCACTGCCTGCCTGTATAGCCTATGGCTGAATATGATTCAGCGCCGAATATCTTCAGTTTTTAATTCAGCCAAATTGAATTGGGACAGTCACTGTATCAAATCACTGTCCCTCCAAATTGCCAAATCCAAATCCAAAGCGAATACATTCCACTTCACACAGGTCTGTTTTTAACATTGTGGATTCCTATATGAAGTCTCTGGTTTACCTTGTGACTCATGTTTCTACTGTTAACTGTGGCCTCATGGCACCCTTGAAAGGATCCCAAACTACCACAACACTCCAACTGAGAATCACTGCTCTACACCAAATACTTGGTGTAGGCCCTTTGATGCCCACTCTTCAGCCAACAATGACTGGCTATAGCTGTCTTTCAAAATGTATCAGCCGCTGCTCTCAGATGGTAGAAATGTTAAATGTTCCAAGAAGGAATGTTCCAATTCTAGGCTGAAGGTAACAAGTCTCCACAACTGTTTGCACAAATGTGTGTGAAATTACAGGTAACATAACAATGATCAGGTACAAACGATACCAATTAACCCTCCTCTTCAACCTTCTTTATTCACATCCAACACACAAATATTTAATGGTTTAGTAAAGCTAATCAGTAGGAAAAATAAAAAGAAACATTGATTCTAAAGTGTAATGAATTTTGGGAGAGAGCCCCTAATGGTAAGTAGACTTGCTATTATTTTTTTTTTTTTTTTGTCTTTTGGACTCTTACTTTTGATTCAAGATATAGATGCAAAAAAACTGCTTCAGGTTCATCTTGGGCCATTATAAACAGAATCCCAAATCTTATACCTCATGTACAGCAAGGCAATCTCTATTTAAATGTCTCATGGCTAATCTCTTGGAAAGTTAAAGTGAATCAACTGAAGGTGTGAATTCGACGTTAAAGCATATTAAAAAGAGGTTTTTAGGTGGAAAGCAGCTTTATATTCTTGTAGCTTAAACCTTCTCAGAAGATCTTTTCATCTTCCAAGACATGAAAAAAAACTGCTTGCTTTAGCACGTTACCACCTAAACATCCTATCAAGTTTAAAACTTATGTTTTTTCTTTAAAGTCTTGGGAAGATTACAGTCAACCAACCAAAGGTGATGATTGTATGTCAAATCACATAAACTCCTTTTGATATGCCTGTTCAGGAGTAAAATGGCGTTAAGTCATCCTAAGGCCACTTTTCTATTGAATAGGAATATCCTCACAGGAATTTAACATGCTTTAATGCATTAACATTGTCTTTGACCATCATAGTCTCTCTTTCTGTGGTCATCAAGAGTAACAATTCACAGCCTCTTTCAAGGAAATAGTATAGCTTATTAAATTAAGATGAAGCAAATATTAAAAAAAAAAAATATGAGAAAAACATTAGCTAGGGTTTAGAACAGTGGTTCCAGACCCAAATAGAGCTGCCCCCTCACCATATTTTCCTGATGCCAAGCTGTGCCATACTTGCTGCACTGAGCATAGGAAACCACACAGCTGCATTTACACAATGTTTCACTTGTGCTAATCAACTCTGTACCATATCCTAAGGGTGCAGATCACAGAGGAAATAAGACAAGTCTTTTCATGTGCAGAGAAGGAAGGGCAGAAGGGTTAGGGTAGGTGGGCCACAGCATAAGGAATATTGAGAACCACAGGTTTCCTATATAGAAAATTTGAAGTTATATTTCAAGGCAAATTTCTATTC